ATGACATAGAGTTAAGCTTTTAAAAGCACGCTTCATTGAATCTCATCCAAGCCTCCGAGGACAGGGCTAGGGGACCCTTTTTCTTTAGAAGGCCACTGACCCACAAAGAAAAATCCAATCAAGGGCCATGTACAAAAAGCAACTTAATTTAGGTGCTTCCTTAGAAAACCGTAAAGCATTCAACTTACCTGCTTTTTAAATGAAGATCAGGGAACTCTAAATCAACAAATTAAAAAAAAAAAAAACAGAAAAGGAAAAGGAAAAAAGCCTCTGGGTTCATATTCAGGGCTGTCCGAAGCTACACAGGAGGGTGATGAAGAACAGTCCGGGGAGAGGGAAGGAGTGAAAGCAGCCAGAAAGCGATACATGGACAGAAGCCTGCACACAGCAGGGGTCATGGAAGGAGGAGGTTGAGCTAGGGAAACCGAGGAAACAAGAATAGCTTTGGGTCATGGCCTGCTGTTCACCTGAGCCATTGGACTAACTGGTTCACAACTTGCCAGCTCTTCTGTGGCTCTGCTACTTAAGCCTTTCAGGTACTAATTCTTATGGCAGTGTCTGTAGCAGAATTACGTAGGGCCCTTTAAAAAAAAAACAAACACATGCTTAGTACTTACCCCCGTACTGTCTGCCCACCTGTGCCACATCAGGTCCTCTTGTCCCTGTGCTCACTCTCTCGGCCTAAAGCAAGCATCGCTCCATCTTTCGTAAGTGAGAAAGGATCACCAGCTTTAGAAAGATGATCTCTAGAAAGAATAGGCATTTGTCCTTCAGACACACCATTTTAGGAGCAGTCACAGACAAAGAGAATGTCTTTAAAATAATATGTGTGCCCTTTTAATATAAACCATTTGGGGCACTTAAAGTAGAAATATTCAAGTTCAAGATCAAGAGTGCTCTTCCAACAGAGCCAGCCAGGTGCCCCAGAAATAGTCGAGTTTTATTTATATATTTTTAAAGATTTATTTATTTCTTTAAGCGTGAGCTACTACATAGAGGTTGGGGTGGTTAGGGGCAGAAAGAGCGGGCATCCCAAGCAGACTCTGCACTGAGCACGGAGCTTCAGATGGGGCTCGATTCCATGACACTGAGATCGCAACCCGAGCTGAAACCAAGAGTGGGACGCTTGACCGACTGTGCCACCCAGACACCTCAATGTTTTAAAAACCAAATGAGTGGCTTTAGTTCTTACCAGAATGTGGAGCTCGGATTCCATTTTCAAGTGCACCAAGACTGTCCCACCCACCACTTCCTCCTTGTACTTCCCATCAACCGAAAGCAGTTGCGGCACCAAGCCCCCAGTAGCCTACGTGTGTCTAGGGATTTAATTCACAAGTGTGTCTCAGACTGCGTTTGTCTCAGGCAGGGCTTTGGGCAGGGATGTCAGATTACATTTTCAAGTAATGCTTTTTAGAAATACAGACCGAATAAGTGGTGTGTTCCAGGCTATATGGGCAAAAGTGGCCTGTTGGAGTGGGCTTCTTGAAACCAAGAGGAAGACGACTTTGCCAGAGGCAGCATTAGCCAAGGGTCTATCCCGTTGTCATCCTTTACACAAGGCGAGCCTTTTACCATTAGACAAAGTCTTCCTGGAGAGACCTCTCTGAAATGAAAGCAGACTCTCTTTGATTAGTTATTGCAAAAACAAACATGGAACCCAGTGTTCTGGTATAATCCAGAAGGTCCTGCTAAGGGCCCCCGATGGCTATGAAACAGGCCGAGTACCCTGACTGTGCTGGACTATCTATCTATTTATTTAAAGATTTTATTTATTTATTTGTGAGAGAGCGCATGCACACAAGTGTGGAGTGGGAGAGGGACAAGCAGACCCCGTCCAGAGTGCAGAGACTGACGTGGGACTCAATCCCATGGCCCCAAGATTGGGTGGTCGGAAATCAAGAGTCGGCCACCCAACCGACTGAGCCACCCAGGTGCCCTGATACGCCGGACCTTTTAGATGCTCTGCTGTATACATGTGTCTGTGGAAATGTCAGGTTACTGGTGACTTTTATTGCCATTAGACATTTTTGAAAGGTGTCTTAGTGTAAAATTCCTGTGGGTCAGTTTATACCCATCAATGTCTAGCACCTTCTTAAGTATAGAAAATTATTCTTTCCTGCTGTCTCTGAATTTTCTGGCTTCAGGTTGTGTGTGTGTGTGTGTGTGTCTGTCCGTGTGTCCCCGTGTGTGTTATGCATTAGGGGTGGAAAGAAGGTGTACTTTTCCTTGGGGTTAGAAACCTATTTTGATAGCATCCATGAAGTGGCCCCTTTGGTTTATTATATGTGTGAACCTGTTAAGATTCGGTGAACATAGATTATTTTCCAAACTCGTGAATTGTTTTGCCTTGGAAATTCAGTGTATATCCCAATGGAATCTTTGCAGGTGTTTGAAAACCAGCATGCAATGAATTTTAGCCTGTGACAAACTTAAGAAGTAGCTGCTCCCTTAACTATAATTCATTTAAATAGCCCTGCAGTGTCTTAAGCTCTCACTCTGAGCATTCCAATTAGTTTTCTGTGTGGGGTGTGAGTGTGATGGATTATTTAACCCAACTATAGCAAGTTGGGGTCCTTCATATTATTTCACTTGTCAAGACCGTGTTGGGGGAAATCCTCAACCCTGAAACCTGGAGACGACTGGATAGCTTTTTGTTAATTATGTGCCTCGGTACCAAGGGCCTGCTGTGAACTTGTTAAGCCAGGGAAGAGGGAGTTTTGTTTTTGGTTGTAACAAAGGTGTTTGCAGAAAACTGAGCCTTAGCATCCTGCTTCTTTGGCTAATGAGATCTGAGACACTCTGCAGCTTCACAACTCCTAAACTCTTATACCCGATCTTACCCCCCCCCCCCGCCCCTTTTTTGTTAGATTGATCTGTTGACCAAGAGTTTCAAGAATGCCAAAAGAGACTTTCAGCAGTTTCTGGATGAGGAAGTTGTTTGAAGATTGTTTCCCTCCACCTTTTCCTAAATAGTCCTTGATTACTGTAACCCCCCCCCCTTTTTGTGTAGCAGCAATATTCTCCCTACTTTTTAATTGTCGAGAAGGAAAGATGATCAGGCACATGTATGATTATGTAATTATTTGCATACATGCCGTAGACAGTCCTAGTTTAGTCAGATTAAGTTGCTTAAGTCCATTTCATCTGCAGTGCCCCACCTCTCCAAAGCCACTGCAGTATCTATCTTAGGTCAAGGTCATTCTTAGAAACACAGTCAGCCAGGAAGCAGCAATGGCCAGCTCATGGGCCAGTTCATTTCCTTGACTGGTGGTGGTTGAGTGGCCCCTCATTCTCCAACCCTTTATTTATTGCATCCACTTATGGGAGACAGGTGCATGTATCTTCAACATACTCCGTTCCTGAGTTCCCAAGGTCTTGATTTGTTTTCAGACCCTTTGTCTTACGTGGAACGTGGATGGCAATAGCGAAGGGGCAATGGCAGTAAGTCCTTGTAAACATCTGTAAAAATTAGATCACACCAATTCATGGCAGTGTGGCTCGAGGGGTAAGAACTATTGGGGTGCAGGTTTCAGTGGCACCCCATGTCTTGGGCATTATGAGGGAGAAGTATGGTCTCCGCAAAGCACAGTTGTGTTCTGTGGCAGGAGGAACAAGGTGTGGGTGAACTTTGGGATCTTAAAAAAAAAAAAAAAAAAGCCCTCCAAACCTTCCTGTCCTAACCACAAGCAAACGTAGTTGGTGTAGAGGGAGGGAGATACCTTGTGGGTTGAGCTGCTGCGGAGTGATGCATCTTACGGCATTTCTCTTGACTCTTAGGACTACATCACTGCGTGAAGATGACATTTATTCGAAGCCGTTAGTCTATACGGGGATGAGTGGGCACTTATCCTGGTATTATAAGGTCAGATGGTGTCTGACAACTGCACAGGAGGTGCTGAACGAGAAAATCTGAAATTTAAGGGTCGTTTGCCGTTACCCTTTGTGACTTATCATAGCCTGAAATTACCAAGTGTGAACTCCCATTGTTTTCTTTTGGCCAACAACCCCTTGAGACCTACTTACCCCTTGGCTTCCCCACAGTATAACTACCGCTGGTGTGTTCGTTCATCATGTATTTGGCTGTCATATATTTTATTTATTTATTTATTTATTTCATTTGTTAGAGGGGGGAAGCACAGGGGAAGAGAGAGAGAGTGAGAAGCAGGCTCCCCAGTGCAGGACTCAATCCCAGGCCCTGGGATCATGACCTGAGCCCAAAGGCAGACACTTAACCCACTGAGCCACCCAGGCACCCCTGACGTGTACTTTATAGATCATTCTTCATTAAGGGTGCTCTCTCTTGGAATGTAAACTCCACAAACTTAAGAAAACTTATGTGTCATTTGTATGACTTCTACAGTATTTAGCATAGAATCTTGAATAATTTCTTTAATAAAAAAAAGAAAGAGGGGCGCCTGGGTGGCTCAGTGGGTTAAGCCGCTGCCTTCGGCTCAGGTCATGATCTCAGAGTCCTGGGATCGAGCCCCGCATCGGGCTCTCTGCTCTCTAGGGGAGCCTGCTTCCTCCTCTCTCTCTGCCTGCCTCTCTGCCTGCTTGTGATCTCTCTGTCAAATAAGTAAATAAAATCTTTTTTTAAAAAAAAAAGAAAGAAAGAAAAGGTCTGGGTTGATCTTGAATGATAGTGTTTATTGGCCACACCGATTTTCCTGTAGTGTAGCAGTCTTCTTGATTCACATGTTCTTTTGTCTATCATAGGTGGCTTTTTTATTTTAGCTTTCCCATAAGGGAATGGGGTGCTTTTAGTTTATTTATCCCCCAACATGGGGCTTGAACCCACGACCCTGAGAACAGGAGTTGCATGCTCTACCCCACTGAGCCTGCTAGCTGTCTCGATGTATTTAGTTTTCGTAAAACTTTTCAGATACACACAATGCCTAGGCTTTTGCAGGAAAGGCGTGTGTGCACTAAAGCCAAACTCTTCCCTTTTGCCCTTGATGAAGGATGATGGAGATTGATTGTCCTACAATTTTATCTTCCAGGTGATCATTTGAAGATCTGTCCCCAGGGCTATACCTGCTGCTCTCAGGAGATGGAGGAGAAATACAGCCTGCAAAGTAAAGATGATTTCAAAAGTGTGGTGAGCGAACAGTGCGATCAGTTGCAAGCCGTCTTTGCTTCCCGTTACAAGAAGTTTGATGGTAGGTGCGGGAACTTCGGTCCCAGTAAGCAGCAGTATGTGCTTTGTCCTTGAATCCGTTTGACACCTTTTCTGCAAGTCGTGGTTCAGAGGCGACAGTTCAGTTTCCAACGACTGCTTTTTCGGAACTCCCAAGACTTTCTCCTTGTTGGATCCTAAGGGCCAGTTAGCCTTCCAGCTTCACTGCTGGGATCCGTCTGGATGCACTAGAATCTGTATGGTAGGCATTATGGAAATATGGTTGCAAGGAGCCAAAAAAGAGATTGAAGTAGTTTCATTTAAGGGCTTTCATTTATTTTCTTGGGTGAACACAAAATAGTGCTGTTGACGCAAGTCACTTAAAAAAAAAAAATCTCCCTAATAAAAAGCAGGCAGGCATCTGAAGACTTAGAATAAGCATAGAGATTCTGCAGATGCTGGACTTCAAATTAAGTTGCAAACTGGATTTCCCAGAGATAACTAGAATTCCTAGAAGCCCCGTAGAACACAGATAGGGTTAAAACTCAGCTCTTGAGTTGGCATGCAGCAGTGGCCCAGGAGTAGCTACTATATTTATAATTGTTGTTAAGCTGGGCTTCATCCCTTAGCTGGCACTTTGGCTTAGTCTATCCATGTAAAGCCACGACCAAACCCGTTTCAGTCCCCTGTGCCAAACATGAATTCTCATACGCATGCTGTCTTCTAATAGTGAAGAAATAGCCCATCTGAGCCAAATGAGAGGCACGTCAATCATATCTGAAGCAATGTTACAGATGATAGACTTGAAAAACTCTGGAGTATGGGGTCCAAAACACCTCAGGATTCTCTTCTCTGGTGCTCTTCACTCAGTTTGAAGATTGTTATGAAGTAGATTTAATTTTAATAGGAATGATTTCCTTTGTGCCTGTTTTAAAGGCCATTCTAATTACATAGTACCTTTGAAGCATGCTTTTCTTGACAGTATGTGTGGTGAAGAAGTACAAGGCAAATTTTTGAGATGTGAAATGTCTTTGAGTATTTCTGCAAAGGGCTTGTTACCATGGTGAGAAGTTGGACTAAATTAGATTTATATAGCTGATAAGGCAGTCCCCAGCTAAAGAACAGGTTGTATTTCAAATGTTGGCTTTTGAGATTCGTTATTTGAAACTTATAACCGATTTAATAGGTGTTAGGTTCCCAGGCTAGGCCAAGAGAGCATATTGAGTTTGTAACATAGTTGAACTACAGTTTTCTCTATGTAGCATGTCATTTATCATACCCATTCTGCCACCAGTTACCGTGCAAAATCGTATTCAGTCTTGATTTTATGTCCTCCTTTTCCTGGATGGGTGAAAATGTTCTATGTATCTATATATCCTGTTTATCAGTCCACACCCCCCCACACACACGTGTGCTGTAACCATTAAAAGTACTTAACAACATGTTAACACCATGTGAAGGTGGGTGTTATTGTCAAAAGACATCATTAGGCCACCTCTGTCTCTCTTGGTCACTAAACTGTTAGCGTAATTATTGAGTTTCTCTTGGTCACTAAACTGTTAGTGTAATTACTGAAAAGGCTGGTAATTTACTTGACTCTGGCATTTCTCATTCAAGACAGTAACCTTAGCATTTTCTTCTACTTTGAGGAGAATACTTAGATAATCAGATGGCCATCTTTGAAAACTTGAGATGCTGAAATACAAAAATGACCCCTTGGGGTTTAATAAGGGCATTTAGATGGGAAAAAGTCCTGCTCTTCACAAATGGCAGGCCCGTTGGTAGCATGATGGAGTGGAGATCAAGCTGTTTTCAAGTTCTGCCACCTCTGAGTGGCCCCATTTCCTGTTAGACGTGTCTCCTCCTGGTGCGGAGCCCATGGACATTGTGACCTCTCTCACCTAAGGGCCTGCTGCTTAAGCTATTCTTTCCCCTTCCCGCTCCCCATGTTTTTATAGCGTTACTCCTATGATTCCAGTATGTAGTTTTTAAAAAGCCATACAGAGAAACACTATCAGTAAGTGTTAACATATGTTTTTTTTAAAACGGATGGAAAAACAGTTTCTCTGGCCTTTCCCTACCAGGTTTCACATTCAATAAATGTGTTAACACTGTTTCTTTCTCAGTTTCAAAACTGGTCATGAAAATTGATTATGAAACTTTAGTTTGTTTCTTCTGACTTCAAATTAAAACATGGCGTAGACAATAAAGGTAGTGAGCACAGCGTAAATTTCTTTTGAAGGAGTAGTAGTTGAATTGTGTTTGGCCCGGAGATCAGAACAGAGCTGGGATGCATTGCCTATTTCCTTCCAACCAGGTTTTCTGGGATAATTAAAAGCTTTTGTATGGTAAAACCCCAGTTGACTGGTATCCAACAAACCATAATCCTCAAGTGGGCACCATGTTTGTTGACTGATTTTTAAGGGTGGCAGTTAGGACCCGTCAGTACTCCTTAAGCCTAAAGAGGAGGTTGAGTGAAATTGTATAGGGGCTGTCTTGATGCTCAGAAATCCAAGGGCAGGGTGCTTGGTCCAAGAATGGTCCAGGCCATTATAAAGGACAAGCCCGAGGTCATTGATGTGAATGAAAGGGAGGAGGTTGGGCCGAGCAACAAGATGGCCACTGGAGAACCAAGCTGGGGTGGCCAAGTGGCACGAAGAAGGCTGACAAGTCTTGAGGAAATAGGAGAGGGACACATGGAAACCTACAAGGTCAGGCAACTTCAAAGGAGCATCTTTTGCCATCTCTAAGCTTACGGTATAAATTTGAAGTGGTGACCCTGAGCCCAGGCAACTTCCTCTACCATCAAAACTCAAGTCCTGCTGATGAGATACCACTTTTTTCTATGGCCGGAACAGGTTATTTATTTACTAGAGAGAGCGTACACACACAAGCGGTGGGTGAGGGAAGGGGCAGAGGGAGAGGGAGAAGCAGCTGGATCCCAGGAGCCCGAGATCACGACCTGAGCTGAAAGCAGACACTTAACCAACTGAGCCACCCAGGTGCCCCTGTTAGAAACTTTTCAACAAAAATAAGGTTCGTAGTCTTTTAGCAGGTCAGCCTTCTTTAACTGGAAACCATCCCATTACCTCAAATTTCTATCTTTCTTCCTCAAGGAGCTCTGGAGTTCAAGTGCCAGTCTTGGTGTTTCGGAGCCAGTTCCCTTATCTCTAAAGGCTTTCTTTTATTCTACATGTTTAATTTTTTTTACATGTTTAATTTTTTATTGTTTGCCCATCTAAAGAGATTATACAGTCTGTAAATCTATTTTTAAGTTATAAACTGTGTGCATGCATGTGTTTTCAGACCTAGCTAAAGTACAGAAGCATGCTTCCTTAGGCAGCATCCCTCCCCAGTGGAATTCTCAGGATTCTCCTATTTTAAACTTGTAGATCTGAGTTTAAGGTCTCACCTCTTTATTTTTCTACACTGTAATCTCCCTTATGTACACTTGAACTGAGGAAGTTCCATACCTAGGCTAGAGACCTAGAGCCAGAAAGGGAAGTGGCAGAGCTAGCTGCTCCCCCTCTTGGTGGGTTCTGGGAAAAACAAATTTCTTTTCTTATTTTTTTTTTTTGAAGTAGAACTGCTAATTAACATAGCTGAATGGGTTGTCTCATGAATATGCTAATCAGATGCTCAGTTGGGGGGGGGGGGCTTTGAAAGAATTGCCAGGCAAAGGAGTAGAAATAATAGAAGTGGGGCATAATCCGTGTTTTAGGACCACAACATAAAGGCCCACCCCAAAATGTCGCGTTTTGTGAGAGACTAGTTGTTTTTAAAAGAAGCATAGTTCAGACAACCCAAATAGATTAAAAAGATTAGAGCTGCCACGTTAAATATATCTCTGAATCACATAGTAAAAATGAAGTAACAAATATGAAAATACATTTTTGCTTCACTTCCCGAATCAAATGGTTTGCATGCTGAAGAAATCTTAAGGAAATGGAGATGTCTGAGGCCAGTTCATTGCAAAAAGTGTTAATTCCTCATTTTAGGGAACAAATGTAGTAACTTCAGGAAGCAGAGCACATTGAATTGTCAGCCTGGTTCTGTTGTGAACCCACTGTGACCCGCGGCAATTAACTGGGTCTCAGTTTTCCCATCCATAAAATGAGGGGGTTGAGCTCGATGGTCTCTATAAAGACCCTTTCAGTTCTAAAAATTCTGTGAATCTTCTAAACATGTGACTGGACCAGCTGCTTTAGTGAAAGGTCTCACAAGATGTTAATTAGCCGCCTGTCTGATACCCTCTATTTTCCTGCTATCATTTCTTAACTCCACTACTTTCCCCAGGTCTTTGAAAACCCTCCCATGAGCCTGAAGCTTGTTAACTCGAATAATAGTAGAAATTTTCTGAATTAGCTTAAAATGCACATAAAAGAAATAATTGTCTGTCCCATCTATCTGCATGGGCCAAGTGTAAATCAAAGTGGCCACCCTTCCCTTAAGCCCTCAAGCCCCCTTGTTTTCTATCACTTCACAAAGGCAGGACGCGTTGCACTCTGCAGATTTAGCCAAATCTGTGTTTTAATCACTGACTGGAAATTTCCCAGAGTTCACAGCGGCTAGCCCTTCATTAGGCTGGTCGGGAAACCAGCGAAACCAGCGACCAGTGCGGAGGCGCAGGGAGCTGACGGCATTAGCATTCACAGGCCTGTGAAAGCAGTGACCTCAGTGGGAGGAAGCTGGCCACTCACCTTAAAAGGCAAATGTGTCCGACTAAGCTTCATGGCCATTAGCTAAGCTGAAATTTCTGGAATTTTCCTGACCTTTGACCTTCACTATTTCTTCAGCTACGTCCTTTTATTCTTGTGCTCTGCACCTCCATGTCGACTGGCTGAAGACCCCTGGGGAAGGTCTTTATGTTTATTAAAAAGCAAGTCTTAAATATCCTCCAAAATAAACATGTAGTAGGAATGTAGTACATACATCCATCCTAGGGGTGACTTTTAATTTTTTTTAATTTAAAAAAATTTTTTTAACTTTGTTTTTTCAGTGTTCCAAAATTCATTGTTTATGCATCACACCCAGTACTCCATG